CGGCCCACACACATACTGGATCCTTAAGTGTCTTTTCTAATGCTCTGATGGTGTATCAGGGTGCTTTAGGAATGGACCTCAGTGTATCCAAACTTCCGTGGTTTGAACTGCCAGAGCAATGCTTTCAGGGAATCTAAAGAGAGAACTGGGCTCTGTCAGGGGCCAGACACATGCTCTGCCCTGGAAGGGATGGCATCACAAGCTCTCCCCTGGCTCTCTTAGGTGTCAGCTAATACCTATGCCCTGCTCTGTGGGTAACTCTGGACTTTGGTGAGATAATTTAATGTAAATGGTAATTTATTCTCATAACATAAAAATATGCCTTTCTGAGGGGTTTGGGGAGGTATAAATGTATACAAAAGATTCTTCCTTCTAGAACTAAGCATTACAGACTTCACATATATTTAATTCAGCCTTTATTAAAGTTAAGATGAGACCGAAGACCACAAGCCTTTGTAGCAGGAATCTTAAGAGCATCCAGGTGCTTTTGAGACTGTAGAGCCCTGTGTCAACAAATTGCCTTTGTTAGGTAGATAAGGCAGATGGAATAGTAAAATATGAGCTGTCATTCATTTCAGGTCAAATCTATTTATTTTGTACCTCATAATCATAAAATTGAGATTGTAGCTAAGATTTTACTAAATAAACAGGTAATAAAATTTTATTTTAGTACCCTTCAAGAACTATTTGACTTTTTGAGACCACGACTAGCAATTTTCAACCTTTTTCATCTCATAGCACACATAAACTAATTACTAAAATTCTGCAGCACACCAAAAAGTATATTTTTTGCTAATCTGACAAAAAAAAAGTAGGTAAAATTTTGATTCATTCACACCTGTCAGCTATTGTGTTGGTTGTTGTCATTTTTTAAATTTGACAATCTAAGGGAAAAGAGGTCAGTGCCCCTGACAAAATAGTCAGGTATTGCATGTTTTAAAAATTCTTGTGGCATACTGGTTGAAAATCACTGTTGTAGGAAACTATATTTGTTAAAATATTTGTTGTAGAAAACTGTTTATAAATCCTGTTGTAGAACACGGATTTATGCTTCAACCATGAGGTGACCATCACCTCCCTGATCTGGTTCTGATTAGTTTATCTGATTTAAACAGCTCTGCAGACTGCGTCAGAAACAGAAACCTAGCTAAATGCATTCATTGATTCAAAACAGTTATTATTCAAGTAAAATAAATAGGTGATGCTAACAATGAACTTTAAACACAAATCAGAATCTCAGTTTTTTCCATGACTCCTTCCTGACCCTTTATTTTTAATGCCTGACCCATAGGTATCTATTACTGTGTAACAAATGACCCTGAAAGTTGGCAGCTTCAGACAACTCACATGTGTTATCTCATGGTTCCTGTCAGGAATCTGAGTGCAGCATACCTACGGTCTCCCACAGGGTTAGGTCAAGGTGTCAGCATCCAATTTAAATTAGCCATCGCTTCCCTCTCATCCTCGCATAGCCCGTGGCACCCTCTGGCTCAATTCTCTGCTATGTCCTTGTCAATTTCCCCCATGAGAACTAAGCCCAGGAGAACAGGGACCTCACCTGTCTTGGTCCACCCCTGTATGGTCAGCACCCTGAATGGGGCCTGGGAAACTAGGCTCTCAGTAAGTACTTACTGAGTAAACGAATGAATTGAACCTGGAGACCTGAGGTTATTCCAAGGAGCTTTTGGAAATTATATTTTCATGACTTCCAAAGGAAATGCCACTTACTCAGTTAACATGTAAAATACATTATTTTTTTTAAAAAAAAACTGTTTCAAGATTGTGGAGTAGTTTTGTCCCTGTCACTGATTGCTGCTGGGCCATTAGGCAAGTCAGGTCACTTCTCTGGGCTTCAGTTTCCTTGGAGGCTAAACACTTGGGCTGTAGATCAGGGGTCTTCTGACTGTGCCATCCCCAGATCCCAGTTGGGTAGGGGCAGCTCTGTGTTTTCAGCATTGGTCTACCATGTGAGGTTTGGTTGAAGAGAGGACTCTGTGGGGAAAAAAAAAAAAAAAGTTTGAAATCCCCAGGATTTCTTCCCTGCTCATGAATGGCCAATTCAGCTCTGCAGAAGCAGGCACAGGTTGTGGTTCTGTGACTGGCGAAGCTTTGGGCCAGTAGAACCAATAGGAAGGACAAGCCTGATAAATTTGGTGCATGTGACTGAGCTCTCTTTCCAAGAATCCCCTCTTCCCATCCCCCCCAGCATCACACCTCGCTTATGCCCACATCATGCTGCCTTTGAAATGTTAGCATCGATTTTTTTTCCCCACATTGATTAACTCATTTCAAGATTTCATTTCTGGCACGGCATTTCCCACCAGATAGCCAGAGCTGCTGAGCTCCAAGTTTTATAATTAAAATTCTGTCACATCCCCCGAAACAGTGCAAATTGTGCCATTAAGCGTGGCATAAAAGATTTGAGAGCACTTCACCTAGTAATTTAAATATAATACTTCTGGCAGCTTTCTATTTGGGGTATTTTTAATTCTAATTAAAAACCTATTATTGAACATTAATATCCTCTCTATAGTGTGCTGTTGTGCCTCTGAGCTCCATTTTGGCCAGCTAGCTTTTAAACAAACAGCTTGTTGCATGGCTGTTGAGGCCCACGTGGTTTGTCCTGGCCTTTGGGAAACACCAGGTCCCAGGCGTAATTAGTATAAATCAACATGCTCTAGACTATGACAGGAAAATGGTATGTTTGAACAGCAGCTTATTAAAATGACCTACTTAATTTAAGAAAAATATTGTATCCACTAGCACAGTAACCTGGATGCTTTCCCTGACAGACTTCATAATATTTCTCCCCTCTCCTTTTTTTTAAGAAAAGGAAAAGGAATGGAAAGGCCCATTCTACTTCATCCAGGGTGCAGACCCACAGTTTGGATTGATGAAGGCCTGGTCCACTGGGGACTGTGACAATGGTGGAGACGAGTGGGGGCAGGAGATTCGTCTAACTGAGCAAGCTGTTCAGGCCATCAACAAGCTGAACCCCAAGCCCAGATTCTTTGTTCTGTGTGGGGACCTCATCCATGCCATGCCAGGTAAGATCCGGGTTGTTGCTGTGATCTATTCTACTTTACCCACTAATGGCTGCATTTGGGCAGAAAAAAATGATTTCTTTAAAAGATGTCTTTATTCGGTAATGGCTCATTTCTTCTCTTCATGACCGTTGCAGTATCATCGAACATCAAAAAATGCACTCTCATTTTATATTTAGAATTTGGCGAGATTAATCACAGTAATTAGGCAGAGCTACAGTCCTGATGTCCTGAGCTTAATATGAAAAATGGAACAGGTTCCCACGTGTCACCTTGCTTTATTTCCAGGGGACAAACTTGAACTGCTTCCAGATAACTATATCCATAAATGTAATTGTTTCTTCTCACTCCCCATCTTCTAACACTTTTATTTCTCTTATATTTGTTAGCTTTTTTTTAGTTTTAGGTGACAGGAATCTATCTTAAACTGGATTAATTTTTTTTTTTAAAGGTATGTGTTACCTTATGGGACTGTAAATATCAGAGATAGAGTTGGGTTTTAGGTACGGCTGGATCCAGGGACTCAGAAGTTGTTTCGGGACTTGGACCCTCCAGTGCTCAGCCCTGATTTCCTGTGGGTTGACTTCATTCTCATGTAGGCTCTTTATTCTCTAGGTGGTGGTTCCTGGGGGCTCTAGGTCTACATCCTTCTTACAGAAAGCACAGCAGAAAGTACCTTATTCTTGGTGGTACAATCAAAGTCCCACACCTACATCCATCAAGCTCATATGGCTCCCTGAAGCCAGGGTATGGGATCAGCTCCACTGCAGCCATGTGGTCTGAAGAACAGGATGTTTCCCTCAAAGAAGAGTTTGATGCTGGGAATGTGAAAATAATGCCTTCTAGAACTCACTTCTTTTTTTTTTTTCCTCCCCTACTCTGATATCCTTCTCTAATAGCCCAAATATAAACAAGTAGAAACTGCTCTGCCCCTCAGGGAGGCAGAGCAGGCACCCATGGCCACTCTTATCTGGTCCTGGTCTCTGCCTAGTGGAATAGCAGTGACCCGAGGACCATTGCAGAAAACACTGCAGTGGCCATAGATGTTTGTTTTTATCTGATGTTGTAAACCAATACTCTTGAGTCCTGCGATGATGTCCACTGCCTTTAGAAGCTGAGGCTCTTTGCAGTAAGCAGAAGTGCATTAATTCCTCCCCATCAAGGCTCACTTGTCTGACAGCCTACCTATCCAGAACAATTCCAGAAGGAAGGTGTAAGAATGGAAAAAGGGCTACCAAGAATTGCTCTCCCCAAAGTCCAGGCAGTGTAATTAGCAGGGAGAACCCTCAGACCTTCCCTCATCTGTTTACTAGTACTTTACACAAACTCTTGAATGTGCTCATTCCTTATCATCGACTCCTACCAGGTAGAACCCAGTGATATAATCTCTGGAGAAGCAGCCTGTCCTGCTATTGGGCCTCTGTAAAGGTGGCAGGACATAAAAGAAGGAAAATAAACTAGTGGAGAAAGACCTGAACTTGGGCTCAGGTGGCTAGGATGACATCTGTTCCTGATGCACTGGGTAAACTTGGACACCCTCCTTACCTTCTTAAGGCCTGGGTTTCTGAGCCAAGAGCCCATTGATGGCATCAAGAATTTAAAACCTCAACATTCAGGCTGTATAGTGCAGTGGCACATGACTCTATACTTCCATTCAGGTGCTGAACATCTTGGCAGCTTGGTACAGAAACACAGGAAGGTGCTGAGTTTTGTTTTATAGAGAGGTAAAATTTTAGTTGCCTGTGAACTTGGCCACCCTTGGTGACTCTTGGCCAAGAGTTCCTGGGTGCTGATATTGTACAGTGCTAACATGACCACAGAGTGCTCAGTTTCTAAAGGAGTTAGAAGTCATAGCAGGACTTGAAGTAAACCAAGATAAGATATTAGTTGACCAGACAGATTAACACTACTTCCAAATGGTCTGATTTGCAATTAGTTTGGGTTTTTGGAATCATTTGGCCCAATAAGCACTGTAGCTTCAGCTAGAGCTCTCATTCTGGACCACACAGTGAACCAATTTCTGTTTTTATTGGACACTTGAAAATCAGATTCTGAATTTGACATTTTTCTGTCTGGTGGTTTCTTTTCTTTGAAAATAGAGTATTATGGGACTCACCAGAATTATGTAACATGTTTTTGATGATCTTTACTGACTTGTTCAGAATTAATGTATTCAGTCATATTGTCACCGGAAAGGGAGGGGGACCTAGGCAGGTCTGCCCCAGCATGGTCTGAAATATATGTTTTCTTGACTTCATGCAGGAAAGATTTCACAATACTAGCCCAGGTGATTTTGAGAGTATGTTTATTAAAGTTGGGGAAAGTGAAACAAAGGAAGGGCTTAAGATACAAGAAGCAAGATCATAGCAACAGGATTAAGTAACATAAGTCAATTAAAAGATATAGTTTTTATGACCAAAATATATTGAACACAAGTAAATTAAAAGATACAGTGTTTTGAGCCTAGATGGAGCTGCCTTGGCCCTTTGGAAGAGTTGAACCTAGGGAAGGCTGCCTTGGCCCTTTAGAAAGAAAGTCACAAAGGCAGAAGAAGTGAGCCAGCTGGGCTGTGTGAACTTGGGAAACAAGTTACAGAGGCAAAAGGCGGGCCCTTGGAGACACGTTCAGTGGGTTAGCCCAGGACTAGCTGCCTCTGCCTGCTGCTCACCTGTTTGCAAGTCTTGTGGGAACCCTTAGAGCTTAGGAGAAAGAGAGCAAATATACACCTGAGGAAAGAAGTGGGGGAAGGCACAGCTGTGCGCCAGAAAGCACATACTGGGTCCTTTGTCGTAAGGGTTTTTATCTGTTTTCTAAAAGCGGGATTTTTAGGGGAGGTCTGGAGGAGGATCTCAACAGAATATTCATCAGCTTTCCAGGTGTGTTCTTTAATATGCTGATTCATCAAAATGGGCAAATAGGGTCAGGGTCATTCTGTGATCAGTTTCAAAGAATGTCACCAAAGAGAGACCAGGACCCAGGGGTCTGCTCCTGCATGATCTGGAATGTGTAAACCATTTGCTCGTAAGTGTCCTTGGTTAGGGAAGATAAGACCTTGCTATTTATTATCTGGCTGTAAATTGCTTAGCTGTTTAAGTATCTGTCTCAGTTTCCCCATTCTACTTGCCAAGGAATTTTCCTAGCTTCTTAATATCCTGCTTCAATATTTCAAAATAAGATAAAATAACTTTCCATGAGATTACATTGCTTCTTAATTAACATATACTGAACATAAGTAAATTAAAAGGTAAAGTTTTATGACCAGCCTTATCAGTTGGTCAGAAGACCTCATAAATGTGAACTGGCAAACTTTTGAATATGTATTTTATATTCAGTGCGACCCAAGCAGAATTTACATCTGCTCTGAAGATTTGGACTGTTTTGTGGGGTTGTAACTGAGCCAATGAAAGGACTGTGACTGTTTTGAATGCTGTGGTTTGAGATTAAACAGAATGTTTTAAAACTAGTAATCTTTTTTTCCCCGATTTATCTTTATTGTTGAAAGTATTATAGAAATCCCCTTTTTCCCCCTTTGATCCCCCCCAC